CCCACTCCCCTCCCAGCGCCGGGAGAGAACCCAGGAGTCCTGGCTCCCAGCCCCCCTGCTGTAACCCACCAGCCCCCACTCCCCTCCCAGCGCCGGGAGAGAACCCAGGAGTCCTGGCTCCCAGCCCCCCTGCTCTAACCCACCAGCCCCCACTCCCCTCCCAGCGCCGGGAGAGAACCCAGGAGTCCTGGCTCCCAGCCCCCCCTGCTCTAACCCACCAGCCCCCACTCCCCTCCCAGCGCCGGGAGAGAACCCAGGAGTCCTGGCTCAATACAATAACCGAAGCTTTATTGACACAGCTGCGTTGCGTTATTTGACTGCCTCCGCCAGTCTGTTGAGTTCCTGGGACAGCGCCGTGACCGTGGCCAGGACCCGGCCCCGATCCGGCTCCGCCAGGCGGCCCCCGCAGCGCTGGGCGAATTTGTCCGGGTGCCACAGGGCCTGCTGGCGCCGCAGCTGGCGGCGGTAGGCGCCCGCGTCCGAGGGATCCGTGCCCAGCATGGCCACTGCAGCCATCTCGGCCACGGTGCCCGTGGGGCTGGGCCACGGGATGTCCCCGTAGCGCAGGGGGCGGGTGGCGTTGGGGGTGAAGACGCGAGCGCAGCCCTCCTGGTAGCGCTGCCGCTTGGCTTCCCGCAGCTCCTCCTTTTTGGTGCGGGCGCGTTCCTGGTACAGACGAGACTCTTCCTCCAGGGGGCGCTGGGAGGTGTGGCGGGAGGGCTGAGCGGCTCCGTGGGTGGGGACCTGAGGGCCAGGCCCCGCCCTCTGGTGGCCAGGCCCCGCCCCCTGGCGGTCTTTCCGTCTGTATTCCCGTGCCATGCGCTCGGCCCACTCCTCGTAGGGTTCTGGGTCCGGGTGGGCCGTACAGAAATCCTCTGGGGAGGGGGGGAGAGATGAGGAGGGTGGTGTCAGGTGAGAATTTCCCCTGTAGGGGGCACCAGGGCTAATCTGACACTGCCTGGCTCAGGGGAGCGGGGAATGAGACATGGGGCCTGCCCCATCTAAGGGGCTCCGGCTCCCACCTGGCCCCAGGGCAGGGACTGGCTGGCTCAGGGGGGTGGGGAATGAGACATGGGGCCTGCCCCATCTAAGGGGCTCCGGCTCCCACCTGGCCCCAGGGCAGGGACTGGCTGGCTCATGGGGGATGGGGAATGGGGCGGGGCCTGTCCCCTCTAGGGGGCGCCGGCTCCCACACGGCCCCAGGGCAGGGACTGGCTGGCTCATGGGGGGTGGCGAATGGGGCAGGGCCTGTCCCCTCTAGGGGGCGCGGGCTCCCACCCGGCCCCAGTGTGGGGACTGGCTGGCTCAGGGGAGTGGGGGATGGGGCAGGGGCCTGTCCCATCTAGGGGGTGGTGGCTCCCATCCGGCCCCAGGGCAGGGACTGGCTGGCTCAGGGAGGTGGGGGATGGGGTATAGGGCCTGTCCCCTCTCGGGGGCGCCAGCGGCCATGCAGGGTCCCTACCTTCGTAGCGCCAGATCTCCTGGTATTCATCTTGGCATTCCCCGAAGAGCTTCTGGCGCCATTCCCAGTCCCTGTCCCGCTCCCCGTCGCTCTCTTCGGATCCCTCCGGGGGCTGCGGAGAGTCATTGGGCATCAGAGAACCCCTGAGGGGCAGGGGGGGCTGGAAGGGACATCGCCATCACACCTGGCCCCCGCGCTGAGGCAGGGCCCAGCCCACCTACACCAGCCCTGACAGGGGTTTGGCCAACCTGGTCTTAAACCTCCCGTGACGGGGATACCACAACCCGCTCATGGACGCCGACTCCGGAGCTCAATTCCTGATAGCTAAAGGAAAGTGCCTTTGCTGCGGATTAAGCCTGTTACGTCTTGTCCTGCCTTCAGTGGCGTGGGGAACAACTGAGACCCGGTCCCTTTACTCTAGCCCTGAAGGTATCTGCAAACTGTTCTCAGGTTTCCCCCCACTCATCTTTTCTCCCCACTAAACGTGCCCCGTTTCCTAACCTTTCCCCCTAGGTCAGGCGTTCTAACCCTTCGCTCGCTTTTGTTGCTCTTCTCTGGCCTCTCGCCAATTTGGAGGGTGGCCCCCAGAACTGGACCCAGGACCCGAGTTGGGGCCTCACCCGTGCCAAGCAGAGCAGGACATTACACACGACACTCCGGTTAACACACCCCTGCATAAGAACACGAGAACGGCCAGACTGGGTCAGACCAAAGGTCCATCTAGCCCAGTATCCTGTCTGCCGACCGCGGCCAATGCCAGGTGTCCCAGAGGGAATGAACCGAACAGGGAATCATCCGGTGACCCACCCCGTCGCCCCGTTCCCAGCTACTGGTAAACAGAATGATGTCAGCCTTTTGATTTCCTTTGTAACCCATTCTGACGTCTACACCTTTTCTCGCTTCAAATCTATTGTTCTGCAGCTAATTAACTCGTGTTACTGTTTTCTCTAAAGCGGCGTGGATTTTGATCGCCGTTTTGGGGGATCTCCACTTCGGATCACAAGGCTGGTGCGTGATCATTGGAATGATGGACTGATTATGGGCTTACCCTGTCCAGGAGGGCACTGACCAGAGCAAGATGCGCGTTTCTGGGGAGCAAGGCTGGGACTGAGGGATATGCAGGTGTCGCCGGGTATGTAATTCAGGGCGTAGCACTCATGTACTCAGCTGGGAGCGAGTTTACGTGCTAGGGGCAGTGCGTAAGCAGACCCTGGAGGGCCGGCTCTTCCCCAGCAAAGCCGTGTAAAAGGCATCGCGAGCTGGACAGCTAAAGGGACACAAATCAAGATGTATCACTCCCCTCTAACCAGCAATGATGGAAATTAGGTTGGCTGGGCATGATTTGTTCTTGAGAAATCCACACTGGCTGCTCCTAATAATCTATTATCCTCTCGGTGCTTAGTTACAAACTGATAGTTTACTAATCTGTTCTGGTATCTTTCCAAGGATTGAAATTAGGTGACTGACGAGTAATTCCCTGGTTTGTCTGTGCTCCTCTTTTTAAAAAAAGGTACATTTGTCCTTCTCCGGCCTCTGGGACCTCCATTGTCCTCTGGGAATTCGTGAAGATCATTTCTTATGGTTCCGAGATTGCATCAACTAGTTCCTTAAGCACCCTACGGTGAATTTCATCAAGTCCGGCCGACTTCAATACATCAAACGTAGCTAAATAGCCTTTCACCTGTTCTTTCCCTATTTCGGCTTGCGTTCCTTGTTAACATTAAGAACATAAGCACGGCTAGACTGGGTCAGACTAAGGGTCCATCTAGCCCAGTGTCCTGTCTGCCGACAGTGGCCAATGCCAGGTGCCCCAGAGGGAATGGACAGAACAGGGAATCATCAAGTGATCCCTTCCCTGTCGCCCATTCCCAGCTTCTAGCAAACAGAGACTAGGGACACCATCCCTGCCCAGCCTGGCTAATAGCCCTTGATGGACGTATCCGCCGTGACCTTACCTAGTTCTTTTTTGAACCCTGTGATAGCCTTGACCTTCACAACATCCTCTGGCAAGGAGTTCCGCGAGTTGACTGTGCGTTGTGCGAAGAAATACTTTTGTTTGTTTTAAACCTGCTGCCTATTAATTTCCCAGGGTGACCCCTAGTTCTTGTGTTATGAGAAGGAGTAAATAACACTTCCTTATTTACTTTCTCCACACCAGTCATGATTTTATAGACCTCTGTCATATCCCCCCGTAGTCGTCTCTTTTCCAAGCTGAAAAGTCCCAGTCTTATTAATCTCTCCTCTGTTACCTGTCAGCTCTGTGTTCTTGGGGAACCAGGGTGCAGGATCCAACCTGTGTGACTCACAAATGACACCCTGCCTATCCACCCCCAGCCTCTGCTTGAACCAAAGCCGATCAGAAAAAGACTTACAAAAAGCAATGAGAAGGCCGTGGGAGACACACCTAAACCCCTCTGGACAAGGGTGACAGGATTAAGGAAATTCCCTGAGCCTCATTTGCATTGGAGATAGGACAGGGAGGCATCCCCATTAGCATACAGATTGGAGAACAGAGATCCCAAGGCAAGAACCGCACTGAACTCTGGGACCAGAGAAACAGGGAAGCAATGCATCATGGGGGATCTCTGCTCCAGCTGTTAATGAACCCACATCTGCACACACCCAGTCTGCAGTTATCAGACCAATTCTAGTAATAGAGGGTCCTGTGGCACCTTTAAGACTAACAGAAGTAATGGGAGCATAAGCTTTCGTGGGTAAGAACCTCACTTCTTCAGATGCAAGTCCCCGATCGATTCCAGCTTCACGGAGCGGTGAGAACCCAGCTCTCGCTCTCTGGGTGTAGCCTTCTGACCCGGACTTGTGGGATCAGTTCTAGTTTTCTAAACCTGACTTTTGTAATCAAACGGAAGTTGGATTTAATATTATCACAGTTTTGTTTGTTCGGTTTCTCTGTGGTTATTACCTGGCAATAAATAACGTTCATGGTTAAGTGGTTGCGTCTCTCTCTCTCTAGCCCCCCCTCGTGGGTGTTTTTTGGCTTCCTCATTCGCTCTGCAGCAACGCTCCTCGTACCTCAGCTAAAAGATCCCTGCAGCGCCCCAGAATCCTGTGGGGTTTGCTCATCCAGTGGGTTACGGCCACAGCAATGTGACAGTGGGGATAGGGACGTGCTGAACCTGGGGCATAGGAGGGTGGCAGCTTGGAGGTGCTGCTTGACCCTGTCTGCTGAGTCCAGGGACATATAAGGGGTCATCTTGGGAGTGCTGATTAATCCGCTCCTCTCAGACGCGCTTTGTTAGTGTGTGTGTGTGTGTTCGTCTGATTCCGGGGCTGGAAGAACCCAGCCCGGGGGAACCGAGGTCCTGCAGGACAGCTCCACTGGGAGGGGACTTGCAGAAGTCGAGTGCCGTATGAGAACACGTGACACAAACAGTCCGTTGATAGAATTACAGAACCCCCCCCCACCCCCAGAAGAGTAACCCTAATAAATGAGCAGACCCCAAAGTAACGGGCAAATCTAGTAACAACCCCCCCAGAGTCTCCCCACCCCGCTCCCTGCAGCACAGACCCCCCAGCACTGCCCTAGGGCACTGGGGCCAGCCCTGACTGACAGGGGAGAGCGCCTCCTACCGAGCCCCAAGCCGGCTCCTTACAGCACAGCACCCCAGATCCGTACCTGCTCCTCCGTCATGGGCCCCAGCAGGTTCCCAGGCGTCTCCCCGGCCCGGTTCCGGATCCCCATGGCCCGAGGGCAGTGGCTCTGCAGGGTGGCAAAGAGGACTTTGTATGCTGGGGAGGGAGAACGGGAGAGGTTAATGGTGCCCCCTGGAGGGGGAAAATGCCATCCTGGACGCCTGGGTCCCCAGCCCCCACCGTGGTCTACAGCCCCCAGACTCCCACTCCTGGATTTTCCATTCCACGTCCAGGTCTCTCCCCCTTTCTTGGGGCTGGGAACTCAGTGGTACAACCTAGTGGCCAGAGACCCACACTACAGGTTACATCTGAAAGAAGAGTGGGGTTTAGTGGATTAGAGCAGGGGGGCTAGGGGCCAGGTCTCCTGGGTTCTATCCCTGGCTGTGGGAGCTGGGGGGTTAGAGCAGGGGGCGCTGAGAGCCAGGACTCCTGGGTTCTATCCCTGGCTCTGGGAGGGGAGTGGGGGCTAGTGGATTAGAGCAGGGGGGTTGGGAGCCAGGACTCCTGGGTTCTATCCCTGGTGCCCATTGCCTCCCCCCAGTGGTATCCTCGAAGCCCTGCAGCCCAGGGGTGAGGCCTAGGTTCAAATCCCTTTCCTCTGGCTGGGATTTAAAGGACCAGTGCTCACCGCTCTTGCCCTTGCGGGCAGCCTGCCGGGCAGCATGGTGCAGGGCCGTGTCTCCTTGCCGGTCCTGGAGGGCAGGGTTGGCTCCGTGGCCCAGGAGGATCTGGGCGGCAATGGGGTCTCGGTGGGCACAGGCATAGTGCAGGGGTGGACGGCCCTTGTGCCCCCCTGGCTGGTCCAGGTCCAGTGCCTCCCGGTGGCGGGTGAGGAGCGAGTGCAGCCGGTGGTGCCGGCCAGACTCCACGTAGCGCCAGAGGCGGCGCTGGTGCCGCGAGGCCATAGGGATGGGCCTGTGGGCTGGAGTGGAGATGGGGTTAGAGACACCTGGACTGGTATCGGAGACCTGATCACCCCACGTCCCCCTTGCTGCCCCAAGACTCCCCCGTCATCCTTCCTGCCCACTGCCTGCCCCCAGATCCCCCTGCTGACCCCGTGTCCCCACTGCTCATCCCTGCCCCCCAGAGCCACCATGTTCCCCTTGTCCACCCCTGCCCCCCAGATCTCCTGCCGACCCCTAGATCCCCCATGTCCCTGTAGCCCATCCCTGCCCCCCAGATCCCGTGTCCTCATTAATCATCCCTGCCCCCTAGATCCCCGATGTCCCCGTAGCCCATCCCTTCCCCCCAGATCCCTGGCCGACCCCTAGATCCCCCACGTCCCCGTAGCCCATCCCTGCCCCCTAGATCCCCCATGTCCCCATAGCCCATCCCTGCCCCCAGATCCCCCATGTCCCCGTAGCCCATCCCTGCCCCCTAGATCCCCCATGTCCCCATAGCCCGTCCCTGCCCCCC